CAACAGATGTAGAGAATTTGGAGCAAGTACAGCTCACTTCTCACGCCAGGATTCCAGTTTATGGGGTAAGTCCCTCGCTGGGGCTCGGGCCTTTGGCGAGGGACTTTGTTAAGTTTGCGGGCAAGCCCGCCTATGTTCTAGTTCATTTGTATTTGTGCAATACCATGATACAAAAGTCATTCAAAGTTGTTAATTCGTCTTCAAAGACGGTATTGTTGTAAAATGGCCTTAACTGGATCGTTCATAACAAGCTCCATGTACTAGTTTGGTCATCATTTACTCATCTCAACTTTTATCGAAAGCTTCAATTTATGATGAGAGGAATTCAGACATGTTCAATCGAACAGAAGCACACAGCTTAGCCTTGAGGGTGGAAGTGTACCAGAATATGCTTATATGACATCATCGTATGCTTACAGCTCAATTCGGAATGCCTCATCCAGTTTCATCTCCTCACTGAATGACGCGCCAAGCTGATCGATCGAAGTCAACTCATGAAACCATTTCTACCAATCCATTCAACCCTTTCTTGGACTCTGAGACTTCATCATCAAAACAAAAACATCATCAAATCTCAATTCTTGAAGTTCAACTTTCACCACCACTTTTCAACCAACATATCAGCATTAACTTCTTCACCATCAAAGATGTCAATCTTTAGAACTGATCAACTCGAGAATGCAACGGTTCTTGTAACAGGTGCATCAGGAGTAAGTGTCCCCCCAAATAAAAAAAACTTTCATCCAAAACCCAATCAACATCAAACTGATTTCTTATACTCACATTCGTTCTTCATTCAGGGAATCGGTGAAGCAACTGCCATCTTATTTGCACGTGCAGGATCAAATGTCATCATCACAGCACGTAGAGAAAGCAAATTACAAGAAGTCAAAAGTTTAGCAGAAAAAGCAAATCAAGAAGGAAACACTGGTAAAGGTGGAAAAGTGATGGCTTTGACATTAGATATGCAAGATAAAAAAGCTATTGATGGGTTCTTAGATAAACTTCCCAAAGAATTTCAAAAGATTGATATACTTGGTGGGCCTTTTTTTATAACTCTTTTTTAGCTCATTTAAAGTCTATCTAAAAGGACTAATCGGAAACACTCATTTTTTCTCAATAGTCAATAACGCTGGTTTAGTTTATGGACGAGACTCAGTAGGAGACTTAAACTTTGATGAAGTAGAAGTGATGATCAGTATGTGTCTCTGATGATTTTCTTTTAGACAACTTCAAATTGATTGGTCATGATTTTCTAAATCCATCCATACGGATACCAAAGACACAAATGTTCTTGTACGCTCACTAAAACACGAGGTTTTGAACTTATCAAACTGGCATTGACCATGATATTCCTCTTAGGGCTTATTCCGACTTACCAACCTCTTGGTCAAAGGTAAAACTGTTTCATCACGTAATCGAAAGCCCTCAGTGACGTATTTTTATGCTGATTGATTGTGGTCTCATAGGAATGAAGGAGCGAGGTCGGGGGCAGTAAGCGATTCGAAGAATTCATATCATCTTGACATATTTTTGAAGGGTGTTTTTGGGTTTGAGCGATCAGTATTATAAATTTAGGTTCCGTAGCTGGTCGTGAAGCATACGCAGGAGGTTCTATCTAGTAAGTGAAAACTCTGTACTCTTTTAGCGAACTTCTTCTAGGATACTAAATGGAATTACTTTGATGACAGCTGTGCAACTAAACATGCAGTCAACGCCTTTTCAGGTGCTTTGATGCGCGAATTAGTCTCGACTCCTTTACGAGTGAGTGAGGTACAGCCCGGTATGGTCGAGACTGAGTTCAGTGTGACCCGATTTAGAGGTGATCGTAAAGCGGCTGATCAAGTCTATGAAGGTATGGTTTCTGAACGATTCTATCATCACTGTTTTGAAGAAGAAATCTGGCAGGCGAGTCGATTGTACTCATGGAAATTTTCTTCTTGTTGTATTTGATCTAATACTTTAGGCTTGAAACCATTAACGGCTCAAGATATCGCAGAAGAGATCGTATGGTGTGCATCAAGGTAAGCAGATCAAACTTCACTTCTCCAAAAACCATACCTCATCTCTAAGTCGAATGATCTTTCCACTTTTTCTTTTAAACCAGACCTCCTCACGTCAATATTGCTGAATTATTTGTAAGTCTATCTCCATGAATATGATTTACCTTTAAGAACAAAACGATTGAAGTTGTTCATTGAATAGGTTTTACCAACGGCTCAAGCTAGTGCTGGATTACATCATAAGATGTCTAAATGAGTTGAGATGTTTAGGTATGAGGTCTTGTTCTTTCGATCAACCCGAAAAGTAGTGGATGAGTTTATATATCATAGATCTTAGGAGATGTACTTAGAAGTTTAACTTTGTGGTTGGTTTATTTATGTTCAAGAATGTACAATTTGAACTACAAAATCGGTCCATGAGCTCAAGAAGATTCACTTGATTTTACATGATTTCTTGATATTAAGCTCAATACATTGTAAAGTTCTCAACAATCACTCAGAGTGATTGTGCGTAAAATCAATCTAATAGCTCAGAGTCATATGATTGGATATAGTAGATTGCAGGCTCCAGGATAGGATAGGATCACACCAGCTATGATACTTGAACTCATCTATGCTTAACTAACTCCATCAGTCTAGAATGTAGAGGGGCTTCATGCAATGCGTGAATCTATCAAACCATTTCTATTGCGCCATATTACTGTAGTTAAGTCTCCATGCTGCTTATGCCCAGTGTATGTGCTTGATTCTTTGTTTGAATGAAATGCGAAGTTAATGAGGATCAAGTATCGGATTATGATATGAAAATCTCCTTAGAATGATCCATGTACATGACCAAATAGATGGTGACATTTAATTTTAGGAATGGAGATAGATTTACAAAATGATTCTTAAGCCAAAACATGCAGGCCTTTGAGTGGTCTCAGCTTTGATCATGAAGCTGTCTCATTCAAAAAGAGGAATAAAGACCAATAATAGAATATGCCCATTGTACAGCCTGTTGCATTATTGATGAGTTGATGAACCAAAGCTGGTGCAGCTGAGTGAGGGCGAGGCACAGGAATTTGTTTACTTTGCGGCTCTTTGCGGGCCGGCTTTATTTGTAACTTTGGTCATGTCAATGTGTGTATGTAAATTGGAACCGATCAGGTGATCGGTGGGTTTTGTAGTGATCGGACTTAAAAACTTTTAAAACTTCAACTTCGCTTTCGAAAGTCTTCATCCTCTTTACCATCACATCACCAACTTTCATCCAAGTCAATATCCTACTTTATCTTAAAGACTTTATCCATCTTTTTGTTCTTTTCATCTAAATAACTCTTCATCATGGTTCAATCAGCTGGTATGTCTTATAGATGATACCTTCCATCCATACTCTATCACAGCGCTTCTTGGTAGACTCCCTGACTCATTCTCACATTCACAGTTCTCGGATTCCCTCGAATTGGTGACAAGCGTGAAATCAAAAAGGCTGTTGAGGCTTACTGGGCTGACAAGATCTCAGCCGAAGAACTTCAAGCTGCTGCCAAAGAAGTCAGACTCCAAAACTGGAAGCGAATCCAAGCCGCTGGTGTCGATCATGTCCCCAGCAATGACTTCGCCCTTTACGATCATGTGCTTGACCATTGCACCATGTTCAATGTGGTGCCTTCCAAGTACTACGAGGCTAAGTTGACCCCTCTTGATTTGAGTTTTGCCATGGGTCGTGGTCGACAACGTGATGGTGTTGACTTACCGGCTTGTGAAATGTGTGTCTTTATCCATCTTTTCAAACAATGTGTTTGAAACACGACTGATCCATGCTATTGATGTTAGGAACAAATACCTCGGTACCAACTATCACTACATCGTACCCGAGGTCTCCAACCAGACCGAATTCAAGCTTGTTCACCAAAAGCCTGTGGATGAGTACCTTGAGGCCAAGGCTGCTGGAATCGAAACTCGTCCAGTGATCTTCGGTCCTCTTTCCTTCTTGCTCATGGGAAAGACTGCTAGATCGTCCAACGAGACATACGAGCCTGTCTCCTTGTTGTCCAAATTGGTTCCTGTCTACGTTGAACTTATCAAGAAACTCGTGGCTGCCGGTGCCAAGTCTATCCAGATCGATGAGCCTGGTCTCGTCTTAGACTCGGCTGACAAACTCGGAAAGGAGCTCATCGAGACCTACACCGCTCTCTCTCAAGCTGCATCTTCGGCCCAAATCACGATCACTACTTTCTTTGGTAGCGCCGAAGCCATCTTGCCTTCCCTTGCCCAATGCCCAGTCCACGCTATTCACTTGGATCTCACCGAGCGTGGAAACCCTTCTCAACTCAAGGCAGCACTTTCGCTCTTGAAACCCACCAAACTCGCCATCTCCCTTGGTCTCGTCTCTGGCCGCAATGTCTGGAAGAACGACATGGGCCGCTGCTTGGAACATATCTCCGAGGCCACCCAGGCACTCGGCGAGGACCGAGTCATCGTCGCCACTTCCTCGTCTCTCCTTCACACTCCTGTCACCTTGGCTAACGAAAGCAAGTTGACCGCCGAACAAAAGGATTGGTTTGCCTTTGCCCTCGAAAAGTGTGAAGAAGTTAGCACTTTGGCCAAAGCTGTCTCATCCTCTGTCAGCGATGCCGTCAAGGCCAAACTCAGTGCCAACAAAGACTCGATCAAGAAGCGTCGTGAATTTGAGGCTAAAAGTGATGCCAGTGTTCGTGAACGTTTGGCCAAGGTGACACCTGAGATGTACAACCGAAAGAACGCCTTCCCCACCCGACGAGCCGCTCAAGCTAAAGTTGTTCAGCTTCCTCGATTCCCTACGACTACCATTGGTTCATTCCCTCAAACCAAAGAGATCCGTGTCGCCCGTGCCAAATTCACCAAGGGTGAAATCACTGCTAAAGAGTACGATGACTTCATCGGCAAGGAGATCGAACATGTTGTTCGCTTCCAGGAGTCCTGTGGTCTTGACTTGCTCGTTCACGGTGAGCCCGAACGAAACGACATGGTCATGTAAGTTCCTTCTGTTTTCCCAGAACGGTTGGATTGCAGTCCTAACTGATCAAACAAATTCTAGGTACTTTGGAGAGCAACTTCAAGGTTTCGTTTTCACTGAGAACGCTTGGGTTCAATCCTACGGTTCTCGTTGCGTTCGACCCCCTATCATTGTCGCCGATGTCGCTCGACCAGCACCAATGACTGTTAGATGGTCATCATACGCCCAATCTCTTTCCAAGCTCCCTGTCAAGGGTATGCTCACTGGGTAAGTATGTTTTGTACTTGTGGCGGTTTCACCACCCTTTCTGACAGTTCTATGATGCTCTCTAGTCCTGTGACCATCCTCGCTTGGTCTTTCCCTCGTATCGATGTCTCACGCGAGGTCCAATCCCGCCAACTTGCTCTTGCTCTTCGAGACGAAGTTTGCGACTTGGAGAAAGCTGGCATTTTCGCTATTCAAGTTGACGAGCCCGCTATCCGAGAGGGTATGCCTCTACGAAAGGCTGATTGGAATGAGTACCTCCAATGGGCTGTGGACAGTTTCAAGTTGGCCACTGCCGGTGTTGAGGATCGCACACAGACTCACTCTCACTTCTGTTACTCTGATTTCAATGAAATCATGTCACGTATGTATCCATCGATTATCAAATCACCATTTTCGATATGATACTCACTCTTCTCTTTCTATGTAGACATTGCTCGTCTCGATGCTGACGTCATCTCGATTGAGGCAAGCAAGTCAGACCACAAATTGTTGAAGGTATTTGCCTCGGTTGAATATGCTAACCAAATCGGACCTGGTGTCTACGGTATGCTTTGAAAACTCTTATCAAATTGATCTGGGCCTTGAAAGATCTCATGTTTTTTTTTCGATCTATAGATATTCACTCTCCTCGTGTGCCATCGCAAGAAGAGATTCAACAAAAGATTGCCGATACCCTCAAGGTCGTCAAATCTGATCTTCTCTTTGTCAACCCTGATTGTGGATTAAGTAAGTCCTTGATCAGATCTGCACCTAAGATTGAAGATCTGTACTCATCACACTGTTTACTCTTTTCTCTAGAAACTCGTGCTTGGCCCGAGACTGAGGCTTCATTGAAGAACTTGGTCGCTGCTGCCAAATGGGCTCGTGAAACTTACAAGGCTTAAACTCTTGTGTCCAGATGAACTGTCCTGTTTGTGTGTTGATGTGTGTGTGTGTGGTTAGCAGTATATAGATGATTTATGTAGACAGTTGATGACTCGTCATGATTAGAATACTTGTTCAACACGAGTATTTTTTAAAACTTGAACCCGCTGATAGTTCCTATATACCACTTTAGTAAAAGGTTTATGAACTTTTGGGTTGAACATCCGGTTTATCAAATGTAATATCACGTTTTTGATCTCGGTACTGAGCATGAGTCATGCTTTTGAGCCGCTCAAAGGACCTTTTGAGTCTTTGGGGTTGATTGTGAGCAATTTTGAAATGACAAACCAACTCTACCCTCCAACAACTTTATCATTTGATTTTTCAACATGAGTTGGATAACCATGTATTAGCAAGACATTCGGATTTTGCAACTTTTGTTCACACGACAAACCGAGTGATTGGGATACTGTATGAATGCGTTCTCCTACTAACTCATCAGCTGGGTGTGAATCTTCAGTAACTGATCAATCTTCAGATGCTAATATTGAAAACCTTCTGGAGCAAGTTGATGAGTATGACTGGGGTAATGAAGAGGACTGGGAGGATGTGGTCTATCATCCACCATCTACAGTTGTTTTCAAAAAGCTTGCCCAAATTTGCCCGCAAAACTCGAGCAATTTGGCGGTGAATTTGCGGCAAGCTTTTTGCAAATGACTGTACTAGTAATCAGGGCACTCAACAAGGTCCTGATACTTCATCTTTCCAAAAGAATGGTTGGTACCCATTTGGAAAATTGGAGGTATGTACTCGCAATGTGACACTCATGGACAAATGGTATTTGGCTGATATTTAGTTTCTCCTCTGACTTAGAATATCATTGCAACTATGATTTATGGTTTAGCACGCAAACGGATCAGCCGAAGTCAATACGAGGCAATTCACAGTGCAGTGAGCCTGGTTGGCCTCAAGTTGCCAACTTACAAAACCTTGAAGAATATGTTGAAATGTGTTAAAAAAATTCTTGGTTTGAAATTGGTAACAAGCATAAGTCCTTTGGATAATGCTTGCCATTCTTTACCAATTGAGGATATTGTGAGATTGGTAAGTGACCACTCTGGTAAATGTTGCTTACAATTGCAGTGATGATGTTTTTGGTTGATATTTTTCCAATCTGCAGGATTTGGCAAAGCCACATGTGGCTCAAAAATTGTCTTTTTACCCAGCAATCTCAAAGGATGGTGTGATCAAACCATTGTGAAAAATGGCTGATTGGCTTCTCTCCTTGGATACGGGCTCCTATGTTTTATAGCAGTTATGAGCCAGTACAACTATGCACTGGGAGATTGGTGGTACCTACCCATTTCTATAATTTGGGAAATTTTTTTGGTTGCAAAGTGTCTTCAATTGCATATTGTGGATTACAACAACTCAAGGGAATCAAAAATGGAGATATTAAAGGAGGAAAAAGTTTCAAATGATGACATGTTAGTTTTCCACGTAAAGGACTTTTGTAATTTGTTTGAAAATATTCTTTTGCCAAATGGAGGGCACTTAAAAGATCATTATGGTGATATTCTATACCGTAAGTGGCTTTATAATGGGTTAACTTTATAATGGTATGATGTAAATGTAATGAATCTGATAAGACATGATATCACAGAATGGTCTGATCACCAATGGGTCACCAAGATTGGTTTGCCCAATCAATGGTGTACTAAGGTACAGGGGAAGATTGTCCAACATGTCCCATTGACAATGTATAGTGATGATACCTCAGGGTCGCATTCAAAGAGATTCAACAAGCATATGTGCTATTACTTCACATATTCTGGCCTGCCTGCAAAGTTGGCCAACTTGGAATATAATATACATTGGCTGGCAGTGTCAACAAAAGCACATGGGAACTGGTACTGACTTCATCTGGTCTATAATATTATCACCCAATTCCAAAGCATGTGCTTTTGTTGACGCTGCCAGCTAATGTATATTATATTCCAAGTTGGTAAACTTTGCAGGCAGGCCAGAATATGTGAAGTAATAGCACATATGCTTGTTGAATCTCTTTGAATGTGACCCTGAGGTATTGTCACTATACATTGTCAATGGGACATGTTGGACAATGTTAAGGTGAAGGTGTGTCCTGCATTTTGTAATCACTTGATTGGCCCAAATCACAAACAGGGGAAGTCCTGTTGACAGATGAAGATCTTTGCCTTTGGGCAAATAAGCATGCAGGTGCAGGTGATTGCAATAGTTCTGAGTTTAATGATGAAATAGTTTGATTTGGGGACATCTGGGTGGGTGCATTTGAACTTTGTACTGAAATTTGAGAACCTGCGCATTGCTACTTTTTTTAAGTGTGAAGCTGACTTCATGTGGGTGTTGATCTCTATCATTGCCCGGTTTCCACAAAGCTTGCACCCATATGAAGGAACCCCATTGAAGCCTCTATAATGCACATAAAAGACTAAGAGTAATTGGTCATCAGCTCCTCTCCATGGGATTAGTCATTTTAGTTCTGTACTCACATGATTCAGGATTGTCCTCCATTGAGTTTGACAACCTTCTGAACCAACCACAGTAGAAATCTCCAAGCAAATTATGAGTCTTGTACTAGCCAAAAATCAGAAACTTAGAAGAAGCACTTTGGATAGCATTGAAGATGACTACAAGCCCCAAGAAGAATATTGAGCAACAGAAGATGAGTTGATGTGCACCACCAGCTCTGTAGCTGCAAGCAAACTGAATTTAACAAATGTAGAAGGAAAGGTTATTCTGTGTATGAGAGACTCTTATTGCTTTGCACTAAATGATGCTGTGTGTAATGAGATGATTGCCAAACATTGGTGGGGATGCAGCCTTTTTATAATCCTATACAAGGCTGTGTGCTGTGTACTCTCCACATGAAACCTGTTGATACGCATTTATGTACATTTCTGTGGAAACATCAATGAAAACCAGTTAGAGGTTGCTTTACATCGCTGGAACACCCAAGGCCCCGGCGATGGAGAGCACTGGTTTTCAATGTTTGATAACCATTTATGTACATTTCTGTGGAAACAGAAATGAAAACCACTTAGAGGTTCTCTACATCGCTGGAACACCCAAGGCCCCGGCGATGGAGAGCACTGGTTTTCAATGTTTGATAACCATTTATGTACATTTCTGTGGAAACAGAAATGAAAACCACTTAGAGGTTCTCTACATCGCTGGAACACCCAAGGCCCCGGCATTGGAGAGCACTGGTTTTCAATTGTAACATACATGAGCATAGCATTGCACATCCCCCTGGTGTGTATTCAAAACCACTTTCAACTTAATCACATAACCTGCTCAAGTACCTACACTGCAATCATAGCCATGTGACTTTCAAAAGCAAATGCTGGGAAATGTCATTTAGCATAAGGCTGAAGGACACACAAAAAACAGATCCTCAAAGCATTTGAGGTCGCGCACAGTCGGATGGCTATGGGAAAAAACCGCAGACCAACAAAACCATTTGCACATTGCTGTATCAGATGGGCTTGAAGATTGGGTGGAGTTGATGCTGCATACTCTTTGATACTCGAGGGTGTCAGTGACTTGTGGGCATGCCATTCATGGTCAACTTCTCTCGATTATCATCTTGGGTTGTTCAAGGTGCTTGATCAGCCTAAATTTATCAAGTAAGGCCCGGTTCCAGCAAAGATACCTGGATCTAGGCAAAAGGCGAAAAAAAGGGATTGTAGCTAGCAAAGATATAAATCATAATGAGCTGAAGCTCAGCCTGTTGACTATGTATCTACCGCACCATATCAGCTCATTCAAAATTACTTCCAATATTAGATTACATGCTTCACACCTATTTTTGTGTTGAGATGAACCAGAATCCAAAAGTAATCTCAGAAGAAGATAGAGTAGAGCGAACACCCAAAGATAAAGAACTAGGCACAGACATCCAGAATAGTACTACTAGGGTATCCAAGAAATCTTCAAAGAACTGATCAAGGAAGAATCTGGATTGGTAATCTTGGTCTTCTTCGATATGAACAGAACGGAGATTGCTTATTTACAAGTCAAAGAGAATCGGATGGGAATCTTGAGACGCTGTTGAAGGTACTCATGGGATCCAAAGCCTATTGAAGATTATAAAGTATGATCAAATGTCAATGATGTGAAAGATAAATTCAGGTTGGTCAAAGAACCTACTAGGTAGTCTTGCGACGAGCCTCGGCAACTAGGTTGAGCCATAGATCATGAGAAGGAGAATTCAACATCAGTCAAGATCAAATGTAGTGTAGTGAGCATGAAATCTGAACCGAAGGAGGCAAGTCCTTGTCAGCTTAACAAACCAACTACAATGCAAATAATTGTTAGCCAAATTTGAGGTTTAACACCAAATAGCAAAACACATACAGATCTGATTGGTGTATGATACAAAGTGATTGCCCTGTGGAAGCCAAAAGTGATTTGAAGAAAAATGGAAGTGAGTGAAACACTTGATAAAACATATTTGTGATTAAATGATCTTTTATTTGTGTGTTCAAATCATCTTGGTAAACATTGGAAGGATTAATGCTCTATAAACATGGCCAAGTCTTTTGAACATCCAATCATGAGCTTATAAACCATGAGAGAGTAATACCATCCAGCTTACTAGGGATGGAAAAATTGATGAATTGGGTTATTCCGGGCAGTGGCTATGTCACTGAACATCTACACAAAGCTCTAATATAAGGTTTTTTAACGTTGGGAGGCCGCCATCAATAATGGGGTCATCTTTATGTTCTGTTTCCTCGTGATTGGTTGTATCTCACTCTAAAAGAGAACCACTAATACTATATTGTTATGAAAAGTACAGCTGTGTCTTGCTTGTCTGAAGTGCATACGATTACTCAGATATGTCTTTTCTAGACACAAGATGAGCTCAACATCAAGACCTTCATCAAACACCGCCGTCGGCGGAAATTGGTGGGGAGTCACCCAACTTGGACGAGGGACTGATTGAATTGAGAAGAGGAACCTGTAATCATATGAACTCCATTTTCTGGAACTCTAAAGTCTACATTATGAGTGATCAATGATTCTTTGTAGAGCCCTGAAACGGTATCCCTCCAGAAGTCTGAGCAAGTCTCCTGAAGCTCTGAATAGCTAAAAGATGATCATTAGGTAGCAGTCTAGGGGTGGAGATGCTCTCATTGTCGTGAGCTATCCTTGTTGCTCAATCGTTTCGCTGAACGTGGACTTGAAGCTATTCGCATCTTGTTTTGAGATGTGTTTGTCTATCTTGGGAAGGTGTTATCAACGTGTGGGAAAATATCACATGTGAAGATTTTAAAAAAAGAATTCATTTCTGGCACACAATGACTCTGATCCATTAAGCTCATTGACCAGACCCTCAACATCATCTAGTGTGTTTGATCAGGTTTTGAATTGCCTGAAGTTGCAAACATTTGATAACAAGTTCACCTCCTTTGAGATCTCAAGTGACAGTAAATTAGAAGTGATGGATATCCTGTTTTGAACCCGTAGCAAAAATATTCTTAGAGCTCGCTCGAACCTTGACAATGTGGATGGGTATATTGATGCTTTCAAACCCTTCTTTGTTACCAGGTCATATAAAGAGGTATGAATAAAGGAGGGAACGTAAAGGCAAATCCATCAAACCAGCTCACAAGGAGTACTGGAAGTCTCATATATTGATACAGTAAAGTACGTGGTTAAAGAAATTTATCAATATTATTGACAAAATCAAATACCAAGAGCAGGTTATGATGATTTACTCCCAATCATAGTCTAGTCAATTTCCAAAATCAGAATAAGCTCTTGATCACGCGATAAGATTTTCCTCCTAACAACAAAGTAACCAAACAACACGCAAAAAAATACACCATAAACTGAAGTCCTTATACATCCGGAATACCAACAGACTGGCCTCGGCTAGTCTTTTAATCCTTCTACTTTTCTTCGGTACCGTTGGCAACATTATTAGAGTAGATTTCTTCTACTACTCTTTCCGGCGCAGTCTTTCAAGCTGATCTGCCGATCATAAAGCTCGTCAAGCTGTTGCTTTGTTTCGAAGAGTTTTTCACTCCCACCACACCACTTCTACCCTTTATCACAACAGACCAAGCTATCCTCTAGAGTACCTTGTCAAAAACAACCATCCTCTCTACACCAACTCCTCCTACTATATACTACAATAGTTTCACTCTATACTACTCGCGATCTATCCTGAATCCACTGGCTTTGATCTGATAAGATGGATCCTCTTGATTCTTGTGTTTCTGATTACGCAAATCTTGCTCTTGATCCTATCAATTCCCCTGAGTCAATCTCTGCTGCCGAGTCTGAAGACATGAAGAGTTTGACTGACTCTGTCGACTGCCAGTCTTCTGAATGGATTCAAAGGTATGTGCGAGTCTCCTTTTGAATCATTCTTCAGTCCTTGTACTTGTGTTTCATCTTGACTGTTAACTGAGGTGATCAATCCTTTTCCTTTCCAGTTCCAAGGTCTCAACTTCAAATATGCTCGAGTTGATCTCTACTGCCAAGTTTGATGACACGAAGGGTACAACTGACTCTACTGAATCAATTCAAAGGTATGTGCTTAATTCCCCTCGGATTGTCCTTCATTTTTTTGCCTTGTGTTTTCTCTTACTGAGATATGTACAATGTGATCAATCCTTTTCCTTTTCAGTTCCAAGGTCTCGACTTCAAATACGCTCGAGTTGATCTCTACTGCCAAGTCCGAAGACGCAAAGGGCACAACTGACTCTGCTGAGTCAATTCAAAGGTATGCGCTTAATTTTCCTTTGGATTCTCCTTCATTTTTTGCCTTGTGTTTTGTCTTACTGAAATATGTATAACATGATCAATTGTTTTTGTTTTCAGTTCTGAGGTCTTGACTTTAAATACACTTGAGTTGATCTCTACTGCCGAGTCCGAAGACGTAAAGAGTACAAATGACTCTGCTGAGTCAATTCAAAGGTATGTGCAATTCTCCTTTACATTCTCCTTATTTTTTTTTGCCTTGGTTTTGTCTGACTGAAATATGTATAATGTGCTCAATTGTTTTTGTCTGTAGCTCTGAGGTCTCTACTCCATCTATTTGAAGCCACAAAGTCTACGTCTTTGTTGGTCCTCCTTGTTCTTGACTTCAAAGGTCAAAGAAGATCGGATCACTCTGTACTATCCAGGAGAACTCCGAATCATTCTTCCCAGGAGTTTCTCAGGATATCCAACCTTCTCTACGCATCCGCATCACTTCGAAATTCAAGACAATCACTGCTGGTCGCGGTACTCCAGGGTTTAGCCCTTGTGATGTGACTGGAACATTATCTCTGTCTTCAACGGAATATGACGCAGTCGATTCTGCTCAAAACCGACTTTCGATCGCACGAGCTATGTTCTTTGTACCCGCATTAATCTATCAATCGGAGAAACCTCGATTGATTCCTCGGGTGAAGATTAGAATTGAGAAGGATATCTTTCCAATCATGAAGCGTTGTATGACAAAGTTATCACGCGACAATTTATTAAAAGGAGCGATTGATGTTTTTGGATACTGGGCTCAGCAAATGTGGGCACGTGATCGATTAGATGAAGCCTTCAAGTATGTCACAGCATTCTCGATTTCAAGTTTCAATTCACAATTTGGATTTTACTATGAGTTTCTGACATGTCATTCTTTTTGGTTTTGGTTTTTAGGGCGCAAGATTTAATCACTGCATACAACGCTATTTACAAATAAATTCACTCAACCATCAACTTGATTCTCATTCTCATCTTAGTTCTAGATCCTTCACAACTGCTCATTATATCCAATCTTGATATCCTTATTGTAAAACAATTCTCATCTTGCGTAGATAGTCATCCATTCGGATTTTTTATCTCACTTATCAAAGGTTTTCAGCTATAGTCTTTATTTGGTTTATGATGCTTGCTTTGAAGAATGAATATATCAAGGATCTGGTGGTTACGTTTACTACCATCTCTGTTAGAAAAATCAAAAATATCATCTCGCTTAAATAGTCCCTCACTCATAGACATTTCTCGTATCTCATTTGACCCTTGAGGTTGACAGGTTAACACCATCGGTATAATCCAACCCGGCTGATCAACCCACAGAGTTTTCACATCCTTCCTGAATTTGGAGGAGCTCGCCCTCTGGTCATGACAAATCACTTGGTCAAAGGTTTGCATAGCACACAGCACCTTTGCTTAGATTGTGGTCGGATGGAGATAACTATAAACGGTACAATGTTTTTGTACCCAGTATGGCTGGAGGATAAAATTATCATAGTCCCTTTCTCGAAGTGAATCTCGCGATCCGAAGGCCTTTGATTGGTTTAGGTGATGGCCGGTCACACCTTGGTTGTTTCTTTACACCAATTGTTTTTTTCGGCCGGGCGAGATGCACAGCTCAATAAAAGCCCTACCAAAAGATCTAAGCATCTTATCAAACTGTAGAAAGTTATGGACCATGGTGAGTTGTTTGTCATCGTCTTAAATCCTTCATGGTTTTCAGTTTACGTAGGCAAAATCGAAATTGTCATCACGAGTTCGGATTCAACTTCCTACTGGCCTCCACCACTGCCGATCGGTGACCTACACATCTATCTTCATCTCTAAACTTTTTGGTGGCAGCTGAGGTGAAGATCTTTAATCTTCTATATCTTCAAATCTGAGCCGATGATGGTGGATGTATAGCTGATCATATGAACTTCACTTACATCATCTTTCCTAGCTTGGGTGATCAGGATGATCGATGACTTGTGATATTTCTTTTACAAACCTTTGTCATCAAGAAAGTTTATTTTTTTTTGGGTTATCCTGACCTCCACTTCCTAGAAAAGATTTATTTCTTCGGTTTTCTCAACTTGAGCTTTTCGATCTTTCCCTTCCATCTGATCTAACATCGTAAATTTTGATTTTATAAGAAAAGAAATTAGATATGTTACCTTTTCAACAGTTTAAACATAATTCGAATCAAAATAAAAAAGTTGAAGATCATAAACACAATTCGAATCAAGATAAAAAAGTTGAAGATCATAAAAACGAAAACAAACCACAAAGTAAATATAAAAATCTAAATGAATTGACTCACTTAATCAAAACCAATTTAAATATTTCAAACTTAACACAAAAATCAAATGTTCGAAACAAATCATCAGAACAAGGAACTTCAAAAAAAACTCATCATAAAACAAATTGGAATGATTTACCTATAGAACTTCAATTAAAGATATTGAATTTTTTAAATCAATCTTATCAAATTGTGATTGTTCCTAAAAAATCTAAGGGAAAAGATTCTAAAAAGACAACTGTAACTTATTTTTCTACACGAGACACCATCTTACCTAGAAGTCATTTATCTAGATTGCTTTATGTTAACAGAGCTTTTGCTGATTTGATCAGAGTGTTTGTTTGGCACGTAAGTTACGATGATTCTATTGGGTTTTCAAGATCGAGTTGCTTTATTTTCACTAAACTGACTTTTTGTTTCGTTTTGAAATAGTCTGTAAACTTGACTATAGCGTCTGTTCCTCAACTGAAAAAGATTGAAGAATGTATCTTAAAGTCTGATCAAATCGCAGCGAACATTAAAGCCATCACATTTAAATGGTATCAACCACAATACAATAACATTTGGGAGAATTGGTTTGAATCGCCTATCTATGAAAGTAATTTAAAGATCTTTAAATCACTCAAAAATTTAATCTCATTAGAATTAATTTTGAATGAAGATGCACCTTATTATTCAAACTTACCAATCTCAAACCAAATCAAATCAATCGGTAATGAAAACTTATCAGATTTACTTAGATTTAGATTAGTAACTTGTTGGCTCGTAGGATTAGATGATGAAGAATTAATGACGAATTTATTAAAGAACTCGACTGGTTTAAAAAGATTTGAATGTCATTGTGGAGAAGAAGGGATCAAGACAGCAAATCTTAGAGTAGATGAATTAAGTGAGAATTCATCGATCTCTTTAGCTGGTAATAATACCAATGAAAGATTTAATGGGGCATATTCTTCTAGGTTTTCCATTCAAGCTGCTCCAATTTCATCAAGAACTTCAGTGATTAAAGAAAAACGAAATCAATTAGAGATCAGATTACCTAAATTATTATCGAGTTTTCTTTCACTTGAATATTTAGCTATTTCAACTGAAGCTTGTTTAGATGAAGATTGGATTAAGACTGATTGGAGTAAAACTCGAATTCAAAAATTAGTTTTATCTGATTTCAAATCTGAAAGTTTTAATGTATCTTTATCATTTATGAAATGTTTATCACATACTGTAAAAGAGATTGCAATAGATAAAAAATATGGACACATCAGGAAAATCCAAAATGATTCAAGTTCAATACCCGAAATACCATTACATCTACCTAAATTGAAAACCCTTACGATCCGACTCAAATTACCACAATACCTAGAAACATTTATCGAACACGAGTTTGATTATATAAGTATCTTTAGTCATTCATCCAATCAAATCGAAGAATTGAATCTAATCAAAGAATGTAGTATGAAGATAGAAGAAGATATCATTCTTTTAGGTTTACATCAATCCTTACAACGAATCTCAGGGAATTGGAAATCTTTAAAATTAATTAAGTTTGCAGTCAAATGTCCAAAAAAATATTCTGAATCGACTGATCATGAAGATAATCAAGATGAAGATCAAGATGATGACGATAATAATTTTAGTGATAGATTCAAAAATGAGATTGTGAATGTTTTGCAAAATTTAAAACTTAGAGGGATTCATTTTGAGTTTCTATTTTGACTGAATTTTGTTTGATAGACCCCCTCCGCCCGCTAAAAAATGAATTGTATGTTTGTATGTTTCAAAATTGTGTGTGTGTCTTGGTTTTGTCCTTGTCTTTGATTTTGAAAATCCAAAGAAACCAATAATATAAATGATAAAGATGTTAGAAATGATCATGGATTCATCAAAATATGTAAATATTGAAGGTGATTCAATTTCAGATTGAAATTTGGAAATATTGATTCTTTGTTTGATCTTTGAGTGACGGAAATGTGATGAGAGTGTGTTCTTTGAAGCAGATACATATAATGATTGAGTTAAGGGTTGAAGTAAGTTTAATTTGAATTTGGTCAAGAAGTAAACTGTTTACTTCTACATTTTTATTCTCAAGTGCAAATGATCCACAGGAAATGGCTAAAGCCAGTTGGACGCGTTCAAGACTTTCATATATATGTCATACCGGATTTTATCAAGGGTTGAGAACACACAAGGATGACACGACGTCATTGCTCAAAAAAAGCGCTTCAAATCTCATCACAAAGTATTTATTCTTGATAGGTTTCTAGCAATGGCATTGGCGTGAATTAGATTTTGACAGTTTCCGTTCTTCAATGATACCTAAACATTAGCAAGACAAGGTCGAGTTTTAGAATCACTTAGAAGACTCAATGTAAAGCTCATCAGCAATCCATTGGGAAATCCAAGACTATATATATCTGAATTTGTCTATCATATTTTGAATCCAAGTTTATTATTTTGAGGTTTGGTCAGATCATGTCTTCTTGAGCAGAAGAACTTTGGTAGAGAAACCCTTAAGGTTAAATAAGCCCCTTTTAACACTTATGAACGTCTTTAGGACCAGGTCAGGTTCTTGTGGCTCGCGCGGGACTTGCTGATGAATCACTTTCAACTATGTATTCACACAAACAATTGCCAAAAAAGACGTGGAAGACAAATTAGAGAAAACTAGAAAAATGATTTAGTAAGATTTACCTCAAGGAGATCCAATTGAATTTGGAGATCTTAAAGATCTTGATTCAGACATCCTCCTTCTCAACAATTTTGATCAAGCTTCACATACATATCTAAATTAATTTTGGTCAATAAATCTTTTGATGATTTGATTAGGGGTTTGATTTGGAAAGTGTATGTAAGTTGATTTTGTTTGTTGGTTCACAAAAGTGAGATGAGTTAAACCAATGTGATTCTTGTCAAACCAATTAACTTTGTTTTTATTTGGTAGATTAGTGAAACAGTTTGTTCTGGGATGATGGGATCAAAAGAAATTGATCTGTCTTGAAATTGAATCAAGTCATATTTCCCAAAAGAAAGATCAGAACAGTGGCAGACCTTTGGCGGCGCCAAATATACATCATTTCACCCCCTGTTTTTAACGTGGCGCAATTGCAGAGAAAGAGCTCGACAGCCTGTTTGCGCCTATATTTTCAATAATTCTTGTTTTTTTATGCTCTTGGAGCAATTTTTGGGCTGCACTGCACGCACACTCCTTTGCACGCACATGGAGCCAAGAAAGTGGGGCATCCAGACTGAGAAAAACAGACGCCGTCCACCTGACATTCTCAGCATTTCAACGATGCCCAAGTCTTTGATTTCCATAAGCTAGGAGCATAGTACATACATCACATGATGGACTGAATCCAAACACCCACAAACAAATTTTATAACAAGATGTTAAAAAGAAATAGCCAGGTGAATGCGACTGTGATTTTATAGGATCAGGTTAAATAAAACAGACAGAAAAGAATCCACACAAAAAGAAATCGCCCAATCAATGACGTAACTCACCTGGAACCATCTACATTGAGAATCATGATGCAATGTATTTGTTGGTAAGTAATGATGAAAAATACAAATAGTGAAATGATGAAATGATGTATCAACCACTAATTATGACTAATTTCATTTAATCCTCTTTTAGCTTTGAAAAAACACAATCGCAATTCCAAGATGACATGAATGAAGATCTTGTGAGCAAAGAAAACTTCAAAATCCTTCACGTTCTGAAATAATTGAGTCGAGCCTTGAAGGGTTTTACATATTCAAAACAAAGCATGACCTTGCAAGATCACAGGACCTCTGTGACCCCACAAAAGCATTTAGAGTTACATAGTGCCTATGGTGGGAGACATCCAAAAGAAGGAAAGGCCCGAGCTGTGCCTTGACGTATGCATAGAGCTCCCAATTGAAAATTGCATGCGGAGTTTGAATTTTTATTCAAATATGCAGAAAAAACAAAAAAACATCGTTCAATCGTTTTAACAAGCTAGTTTTGAGATGCTGTTGTTTCAAAAGACTGAATGACGACAGACCAACATAAGATAGTGAATGAAGTGAATCAAGGGATGAAGCAAGCTATAGAAAGGTTTAGTTGAATTCTATGAATGTGATTGATTGATTTATGCTGTGAATTGGTAGTGATGATCAAGAATGAGATGACGTATTGTGCTATTTGGTATTTGATGATCGATTGAAGTGATTTGAAGTTTTCTTGAAAGTCTTGATCTGATTTGAATTTTCTATCGATCTTCTTCAAATGACATCATCCATTTCCAATTCAAATTCCAATTCACTCAAAACCATTCTCAATTTGTTTTTCTACTTTACTTTAAAGACTACTCATTCTCACTTCTCTTCTTCTCCTGCTTCTCCTTCTTCATCATCTAAAACTCAAAACTAGCCAAAAAGAAATAAATCATGTTGAATACTCAATTACAAAACCTCCTTAACAATCCATTAACACCAATTCAAGCTTATGCTGATTCGGATCTGTTCTCTACTCAAAATGTTCTCTCTCGTCTATCTCATTCAGTTAGTTCTCATCTTTGGTCTTGTGAATCTTACCTGTTAATCTAACTCTTTCTTTTTTTTCTTCTAATCTTTAGGTATTATGGGTGGTCTTCGCCATCATGATTCTATCGACTGTTGTCATTGGAATCTTAACTACTCAACAACAAAAGAATAATAAATTATTCCATCATATCACTCTTACTATTAACTTCATCGCTGCTATCTCTTAGTAAGTTTTTGTGTTTTCCAAATTTCGTGTGAATCTTTCAAAAGTTAACTTTTTCTTTTTGTCTGATTGCTTTAGCTATTCGATGGCTTCAGGAATCGGAATTAGTCTTTCTCATCATGGAGCTCGTCCATTATTTTGGGCTAGATACTTGGATTGGCTCTTGACCACTCCTCTCTTACTCACCGATCTTGGTTTACTTGCTGGGATTCCAATTCAAGATATCGTTCTACTTGTAAGTCATTCTGGTCTTTGGTTGATTTATACTTTGTTTGAAATTCTTACAGATTTCTTAAGAACTGATGATGAATTTTTTTACCTTTTGATAGGTTTTGAGTGATGTAGTCATGGTCGTCACTGGTCTATTAGGTGCTATAAATCAATCCGAGTCTACCAAATGGGGATACTTTGTGATGAGTTGTATCTTCTTGTAAGTCTCAATCAATCCTTTCAAAGAGAAAACAAAAACTTGATTGTCTGACAAACTGGCCGATTGATGTGTGAATCGATCCACATACATAGTGTTTACGTTGTTTATGAATTAGCTACTACTGCTAGACGAACATCTTATCTTAAATCTAGTCGGGTAGGGTTCCTTTTCACTGCGATTGCTGTCTATAGTATGTTGTTATGGACAGTTTATCCTGTGGTATGGGCATTGTCTGTTAGTAGTCTTCTTTTTTAAACTATCTTTATAGCTTTAAAAACGCTTACAATACCAAGATGAACTGATTTTCATTTTGCACTTTTATTCTGTTCATAGGAAGGTTCTTCAATCATATCACCAGATTTGGAAATATTGTTTGTAAGTTGATATTCTTTTTGATCTTTGAAAGACGTATTTATTTACTACATCATCCAAACTGATACCTTTGATTTTTGATTTCTAGTACGCTGTTCTGGATGTGATGGCCAAAGCAGTCTTTGGATTCTGGTTATTAATTGCTCATAGTATCATTCCTGAATCAAATGTGATTGTTTCTAATTCATTTACGGATCCAAGAATCCAAAATGGAGTAGGATATAGTGCGATTGCTGAGAATGAAGAAGCTGTTCGTGATTGATGAAGATTCAGTTTGGTTTTTGATGAGTCATAAGTTTTGTGATTGTTTAATCTTGTTATCATTAGTCTGTTTGATCTTGTTACTATGCAGTTGATAAAATGAAGTGAATGCTTGACACTCCTTGACAGGAGTCGATCGATCCAAATCACACCAAATGAGAAAACGGACAAAAGTATGACTCACGGAGGTACATCACTCATCAAAGCATTTTGTGCTGTTGGTTTTCCCAGATGTGCATGATGAGAATCGCTGCAATGGTGGGTATTTTCGTATAGATTTGATGCAACTAACCAGGGAAGGTCAACAAGGGTAACAAGCTATCTTTCAATTTCTCATTGAAATGAACCGTCCTCGATTTATTACCACCTATCTCTTTATCAATGATATTTCCGGGAGGGCTTCGGTGGTCTAATGCTTATTGCATGCATGCATAGACTCCACCACCTAGTGAGGAAACGGATATGTGCCTGTGACCAGTGGTGGATTTTTACATACAAAGTTCTCCGGCCCATATGATCGATCGATGATCTGAAATACGCTCAAGCCTCAGTATCAGATCACTTGAGCTGACCCGCTATACGACGTCGAAAGCGTGACAAAGGATTGACCTCTTTAAATGCACTTTTCGTTCCTTCACCCTGCGCAAACTTCAAAGTCGTGATGGATGAGAAAGTGGATCAGGAATGTCAATCGAGGAAAGAGAGCAATCGCGTGTGCTTGCGTGTCTGAGACGATCAAATCAGGTAGAATGTTCAAGTAAGTTATTGATACAAGACGCAGGTACGAGCATATAGCATATGATGTGCAGTGAGATATATATGTGGTGATCTAGGTTGTACAACATAAACTGCGAACTTCGAACTTTTTGTAAGGGTTGACCGTTGCGGGGTAAAGCGATCTTGCATTGATCTATCAGGAAACTTCCGCTGCAGAACACAAATGTAAAGATCAAGTGATTTGTGAATCTTAGAGAAGATCAACAAAAGATAAACGTCGGGGTTCTATGAATCGAATCGAACATAAACGCGCAGTACTGAAAGTACATATGTTGTAGGCACCCTGAAAAGTCTCTTGTAGAAGTTGATAAAAAAGGTGAAGGAATCACACCCAATCTCGGAAGAGATCCGTAAATGAAGTTTTGTTTTGTTTTGAAAAAAAAAAGGAAAAGGCTTTTCAGCCATAGAGAAAAAGTTATTTAGACAACCCAAGTTCCAACCAAACTTAACCAAGTCCTTCTCGGCGTCTCAACGCCTTTGGATTGTCAAACCGATTCTTGACTTGAAATTAAAAATCAAATATGTACGTTTGATAAGAAAAATCATACGAGAATCAAACAGAATTTAGTAGAGGTACACCGGTAGAACGGAAGATTATATTGATTTTTTATTGAAGATTCAACTACAAGGAATGGTGGCAGATGGCAAATGGCAAATAATGGAAAGGAAAAAAAAATGGAAAACCGGAATAAGAATCACCGGAACCGAATTGTTCCTTTGTTCTTGTTGTTTTTTGGGACTGAACAGATGGAAACATAGTACAAATGAGCGGTGAAAATTTTCTGGAAGATGATGAATGATGATTTTTTTTTTCTTTAATTCATAATCCAAGCGTGGGGAAGTGGATTCAGGGTGTACCAATTGATTTGATGAATCATGGGGGAGTAATTTTGTACAACATCTCATGGATCCAAGCTGATGGATCATGATTCATGAATCGGACAGATTCTCAATTGCTGAACGGGTGAGCTGAAGCTGTATGGGATTCCATTTAATTTGATCACTCGAGAGTTGAACTTGAACTTGAAACTCGAATGATGTTTTGATCTGTTTTGATTCTAGCAAATGATAAACTTGAGAAACTCACACGGGGCGAGGGAGTAAGTCGTTAGTGAAGTTGATGAGGTAAACGATTTGGTTTAAATAAACCTTTTGACATGTGTTTTAAAGGAATATAAAAGTCTATTAAACCAAAGAGAAAGAACTTGTGTCATGATGTGATCAAGAGCTACAAGAATGTTTTTCTAGCATGAGACGTGGATGGAATCTGATTTGAGTGAATTCTTTCTTTCGTTCTTGTTTCCGACTTGTCACTTGAGTGTCTGTAAAAGGATTGAAGTTGAAGAGCATTAAATTTAAAATGTGTATAAGTTGAAACCGATTCAACGATTGTGGCCATTTTGAGATGTGTTGAAGGGTTTTAAGACCAAGATTTATGAAGATGTTGTTTGTTAGAGATAGAGCCGATACCGATTCGGGTCGGTGTTTGAACACACACCGCATATATGTAACCCTACAATTTTATAAAACTGAGGGAAATGTTAATGGTCATCAATCAAGGATGTTAAAAGTGAGTAAATGATGAAGTCATGAAGCCTTATGAATAACACTCTGGGGAATATTGTATGTAAGATCTCTTGTGAATTCATCATAGACTGACCAACCAACAAGCTTTAATCAGATAGATATACAATTTTCTAGAATTAGCTAAGCCTATAAACATAATCAAACTTATAAGCAAGATTATTGTAATTCTGAACTTCAAGCGAAAAGAAAGAATCCGTGAATTAAGAGTAAGGATAAGAAGGAAAAGTTTGACAGGTGTTTTTGACAAGTCAAGAGTCAAGAGTCAAGACAGCTCAAGAGTCAAGAGTCAGTCAAGAAGACAGCATAAAGATCTTGAGATCTCACTCATCAATGATATCACTTAAAACCAAACTCAACCGAATTCATCATCGCCATCATCATCATCATTACATAATAAGTAGTAGTACTTATCAATCGATCAATCCATCCATCCATCCATCTTCATCAAATCCATCAACTTCTTAACTAAAACATCAACACAACAACACCCTTGATTCTCTCTCTCTCTCTATCTATGATTTCATTCTTGTAGTCTGAATAATTCTTCGTAACATTAATTAAAAGTAATAATTCAAGACCCTTTTGATTCATACTACAAATCACCTATCACTCTTCTCATCATTCTTCTTCAAATCTCAACGCATCCCAATCCAAATTACAATCTTACCCATCGATCCTCATTCATTCAGAATATTAATCCAAAAAAACCTCAGTAGTCACATTCATCGATCGTATGTACAGTCTGCGTTTGATCTCGACTGATCTTTAACCCTCATCGGTTCATCACATTGATACTCCACTAAATCAAACAAACATTTAAGAAAAAAAAACCTGTAACTTTTCACTCAGGTTACCCACTCCCAAAAATCTTTATACATACGATTCACCTAGTACATACAGACATTCTCTAGGGAATATATAAATCCAGTGGCACCCTTTCATCTTGATTATAGACACCACTCAGTCTTGAATCAGACTTATCATCATTTGTACTACTCATATACAATTCTAGTCCTTCTCAACTTCATCTCTCCTCTTTTTTTTGGATATCTTCTCAGACCTTCTGATCCTTAAGAGCTATATTTACTCCATCAGGGTTGTATAAAATCGTCTCCCAATTCAATCGATTCCCTTCTCTTGTCAGACTACACATATATCTACCACCACTACATATATCTCAGTCACCATATCAATTCCTCAATCCATTAACTCAGTCTTTGAATTTCCTCGACTAAATACATATAGAGACGGGGATTCCTCTATCATTCCATCAGAAGTTATATATACCTCTATATCATCCTCTCTGCTTCTTCTTCATCTTCTTGTTTTGCTTTTTCCTGATTAGCCAGTTATTATTCTTCTGATCAATCATGTCTAACTCATCAGAGATTCCAATCCCAATTGCTTCTAGTTCAACATTTCAATCTACTTCATCTTGCTCAAAGATCTCAACTTCTGTCCAGATGTCGGATGGCACTTGCCTTCCTCTTTCTTTTCGTAATTCTGGATTCTCTCGCTTTCCATTTACTACTCATTCTAGCTCTCCATCTCATCATGGTCCTCAATCTGTTGAAATGTCCTCTTCACCATTTCGACCATCATCTCAATCTAAACCATCGGCCGCTCTATCATTCTCACTCGAAGCTGGTTTCTCTTTATCACCTGCGGGCTTTCATCCGGCTTCCTTTACCGGTCCTGGTTCATTCGGTGCCTCTCATCTGGCCCGCATGGAGTCAGCCTTTTGTCAAAACTTCGTTTGTTGCGCGATCCCTTTACGCGATTTACATGATTTACTTGAGCATTTTGAACAAGCTCATTGTCACGCCGGTGATATCGTTGGAGTCGATGGTTTCGAAGGTGTTACACTAGATCAAATGGCAGCAGGTGTGGGTCTTTCCGCCGAACTCGGTCTTGGTCCTGGCACCGCCCCTCAGAATAATAACTCCGATTCCAATGCTCGTCGCCGTCGTCGTCCACCATCAGTTTCAGTCACTTCACGCGCCGCACCTGCCTCACACACTTTACATGAGCTGAGATTTGAGGATGAAGAAGAATGGAGCTCAGGACATGATACAAGTCGAAGTGGTTCACCGGCTCATCTCAACCGGTCCCCTCTACAATCACATTCAGAGATGCAAACCGGTTCAGAAGTTGAAGAGGACACAATGACTCGATTAGGAAAGACATTGAGGGAAACACTTGGAACTCTAAGACCTAATCCGATCACCATCGATCGATCTCGTAATTCCTCAAATTCACGTTCTCGGTCTGGTTCACTTTCCGAATCTCATGATGATAGAACTTCAGCAGCCGATCGAGCACTTTCAGATTTAATCGCAAGTTTCAGATCTAAAGCGCGTGGAAATCGACATGATCCTCTTCAAAGTTCAAGACATTCGAAACATGATAATGGAAATACAAATGGGTTCTTTGGGCGAATTGGAGTTGCACCAAGCGAGTTGGATGGTAGAAATCATCGAATGGAAGGAGGAGCCATCGATCCAGCCGTCTTACTCGAAAGTCACCCATTTGAAGGAACTGATGGACTAACCGATTCATTTGGTGATGATGATATTCCTGATCATCTTCAACTTGATCCAGAGCAACTTTTAAAACATCAACAACAGCAGAGACGTAGAAGGAGACCGAATGTGGACCCGGTGACAGGTTTGACTCCTACTGGTCGATTACCACGCCCTTGGACACCGGTTTCAGAAAAACCTTTCAAGTGTTCGGTACCGGGATGTGAGAAAGCTTATAAACAGCAGAACGGATTGAAATATCACAAAACACATGGACATTCTTCTCAGGTAGAGTATTTAGTTGATCGCACTCTCTATTCCAAAAGATTGATCTTTGTGTTTGTTGACTATGAATCCCATTATTTCAACAGGCCATTCTCACAGCCGACGAAGAATCCAAAGCGTTCATATGCCATGACATTGTATGTGGGAAAAGATACAAGAAGTGAGTTAAGAAACGATCAAAAGAGTGAAACTTGAATTGAGAATCCAAAGAGAGAATCTCATCCGTCCCTTGAAATCCCTATCATCAGTATGAACGGTTTAAGATACCATTATCAACATACAGGACCACATGGAGCGTTGGGGATCCAATTACTTTCACTTGGAGTTCACCCACCTCCTCAATATCCTCCTGGTCATAAGAAATCTTCGATGATCAACTCTAGTAATCCTTCGTTTTGTCCGCCGGCTTCTTCTTCTTGTTCTTCGCCTCCGTCTTTTTGAAGGAGCTAGCTTTCGAATCTGATCTCGTTGTGAAGTTTATTTTATTTTGGTTTTCATCTTCTTCTTGAGGTTTCTGTTGTCTTGTTTTCTGTTTGAGTTCTCTATTTCTTTCTTCTCCCCTTCTTTTTTGTTTTTTCTTCTTTTGAGTGGTAGAGATTCAGATTGGGTTTCATATTCTTTGGTGTATGTTTGCTTGGAGTAGGTTATGAGAATTAGAAAAATTAGATTGCAAAGTCCGCTTTTGAAAAGTCAGTCTTTTCTCTTTCTTGTTTCCTTTCGTTCGATTTACTGATTTAAACTTCATTTCATAGGAACAAACTCGTTTGTCGAAGTGTCTATATCTTTTTCCGGACCACATTGTAAAGCTTTTTTTAAAAAGGTTTTGGTTTTCAATTAAGTTTTCGATCAGAAGTTTGTCAAGGCTTCGAAAAAAAAATACAATGTGGCGATGAAAGAAAAAGAAAATGAAGAAAAACCTTGAAAAGATGAAATCTATAAAAATCTTTGGAAAGGCAAGTTGTTATTAGGTTGAAGGATCGTTTTTTCCTTTATATATCCCTTTTTCTTTTTCTTTTCCTTTTTTTTTGTTTCACTCTCTCGTTGTTTCTTTTCATCTTTGTTCTTTGATTGTCTGGTCACCTTTTTTTTCTTTTTTTTCATCTTTTTCTTTTTCAACTTGACCAGACTAAAGGAGGAAAGGAGAAAAAAGCTAAAAAAAAAAGAAATTGATGGTTATGAGAAAGGTATATGAAAAAATCTTCTTTGTTTGTGTTTTTACCTTATCTATATATATACTGCTAGAAAAAAAAATTAACTTTTAGAAATTATTAATAATCAATATACATAGGATCCCAGTATATCCACCCCCCTATTTTGGTCCACGCACCCCCTTAAAAGCTTAAGTGGTTTTGGTCAAGCCTTAGGCCAAATTTGACAAAGTGCCTCAAACCTTGGGATCGACTCCCCAGGAGCGAGGAGGGCATGGTCGCATCCGCGGAACTTTGGGAACGTTCCCTAAAAAACTGTTCCCAAAGGCATTTGGGAACATTTTCAAATCAGTATTGTAACACCCCCGAGAACTTAGCCGAACATAGCCAGACAGCTGTCATGGTTGCGGCGTAAATATGTCCTAATACGTCTCATAAGGTCTCACAACAAAATTCGAGTCTGGAAAGACCTCAATATTTTAGATGGATGTCCTTCCCCGTTGATTGTGATGCTGAATAAATCACAATTTCAATCCAAGCACCCCTAACATGACCACATGTTTAATATAGAGACACATCACTGACTCATCTTGAGGCCAATAAGATCAGACAGTTCAGGCTTTCTCATTTTCACAAGCGCGCAAAGAGGGCCTTATCATCCTCAGCTTAAAGAGGATGAATAAATTGTGAACCATGCATCTTGCCCATTGCAACTAGTTTCTCTCAGAATCTGTGCGTCAGTGACTAAAGATGAACTCTTGAACCCTTGTGATGCAAGCATGAGCTCTACCAAGCTCCAAGCTGGTATGTATTACTTCCTCATGGTCACTAGGAGTGCTCACACTCTCTACCATTCAATCCATCTTGAAGCTCCTCCCTTTGAACTTCGCATCAATACGTGTATAAGGTCAGCCTGAGTCAGTCAACTTCCCCTCAAGATCTAGACCTCACTTACCCACCCCACTTTTGAAACCCAATCTTTGATCCTGTTATCTTTCTCTTCATGCCCATAACCAGGTTATATTATCACAGTCTTGCTTGTGCACGTCGAATCTGGCCAAGAAGTCCTTTGACAGTCGAGCTGAATCAACCGACTGGATTTCACTGTGAAGGACCTCGCTGCAGATCAAAACCTATCCACTCGTCCCGTTACTATAATCCCAAACATCAACCCAACAAGCCATTGATTGGTCTATTGGTAAGTCCTTTTCTAAGATCATATGTTGTTTGATCAATGTAGCTGAGGTAAAACTCGCAACTGATTGCTTCTGAGTGCATTTAAGTGCCCACTTGAAATAAACAACAAAGGAGCATTTCAAACGTACAGCCGCTTAGAGTACCTTCAAGATATCTGTACCCTGAATTACAAGGCTACTTTGCAAGAAAGCGGAACAGAGTCCAGTTGTTCCGTTCAGCATAATAGGCTCAAGCGAACCAACACCCCCACATCAAATATGCCACAGGTCAAGCGCTCACGTTTACCTTGCTCAGGTATCATTGATGTCAGTGCACATATCGGACCAGGCAAGGCTGGCAATAGACAATGCACCTGGGCTGCTTGTCCTGATGTACGTGCATTATCCATAACGTTTCATGTTGTATATGGCGGATTGACATCTATGATTGAGACCATTCGTCTGTAGTGTTGTCGCAAACAGCGTGAATCCACTGGATTGAAGTGTCACACCCATGAAATGGGGGAGCGGTCCAAGATTGTAGTGCACAACACCCAACCCTTTCTTCAAAGTGTCATTGAATCAGCCGGAACCAGTGGTGTGACTCAAACTTCGATCACTAATGCAAACCCACCTGCAAAGGTTGGTGGATCTGATTTACTCGGTCCGACCCCACCGGTACACCCTCTGGTATTGTCACCTTTGACCATGCGCGCGTACCATCTCAATCGATCAAACAAAGAAGAATATAGGCGTGCTGCTGAGGCTGCTGAGGCAAGTTACGATAAAAATATTTCAATATCACTCTGGTTAAAGGTGCAGTAACTTCTTCTCTCAAAACTTGCATCATAATGATTACTAATGTATGTTTTGTGTGTTAGGCTGAAAGCGACCCAGTTCAATTTTTATTTGCATCAAAAGCATTGAAAAATTACGCGATATCAGAATGTGAACCTTTGATGCTATATGTAAAAGCTGAAGTCCCAGATTGGAACCAGTGCCTTCGAGTATACGATGTTAAAGCTGATTGATGGGTAAGATACATATTGTAAAGCTTATTTGATTGTAAAGCAGCTTTTTATAATGACTATATTTCTCATTTTGATTTTAACCGACTTTAGAATATAACATCAGTTTCCACCACCATCGCTATGTTGTCCTCAATCCGAGAGGCTTTGGTCTGCATGACATCGGTGGATCCTAAAGAGTGTCACGGGGTAATGGAATTACAGGAGCGGCTAGTCCCAGTGAGCCGAACTCATATCAAGAGCATTGTAGACTTGCTGAGAGCGACACCAACACCAACAACCTTCAACTTACCAGCAAGGAGTCCTGCTCGATCAAGCTCAATATCATCCATGATTGGGTCAGACCAATCTTCCAGCCTCGATTTCGCACGTCTTGATCATGTCAAAGGGAAAGGAAGAGGATTAATTTCAGATAATCCTTCAACTCTATCCTTTCCTTCGCTGTCACCAAAATCTCCATCATCATCTCTTTCCGGGGCTCAAGATGACAATTCAAATGTGCAACCAGAATCCGTCAAAGAGTGCAGGGGCCCCAAATTTTCATGCGACATACTCAACAACGAAGCCAATCCACCCTCTGCTGACTATCTCCTCTCAGCAATTGACTCAACTCGCGGAAAAGTGACTGGACCTGTTGCCACTTTCAAACATACTATGTCATCTTCAAATATTATCAATAGTAGGAACAATTTATCTCAATCGGTGGTGCCAGATCCATCTCAGCAAGAGGATGCTGCAACTTTATCTTCATCTCTCCCAGAGATCACAAGAGCGTCAACAAGGAGATCGAAAAAGACTGGTCTTCTGGTAATTTTTTTCACATTCCAACTATATCAAAGCTGTATTGATCAATTCATCTGATGTTTTGCTTTCTCAGTGGCCCTCATCTGAAATGCCAATGAAGCGCCTTATCGAATGGTATCTGGAACATCAGAAGGAAAGGGGTAAGCAGAAAGTATGGGAGAGTTTTTTTTCACCCGAGTTCAAGTGGGATCATACCTCCATGTATCGATACCATCGATGGATCAAGAATGTCACCACCGAGCGTTGGGCTGAGTGGTTCCTGCAGTGTGAGAAAGATGGTATGCCTGCGACGTTTGAAACTGCAAAGTCAGCAGATCACTTTGCAAAAGAATTGGCATCATCACGGTAATTCATTAAGTAAATCTTCAATTGAATCATTTCTTTGCAGCGAGTATTTACAAACTTGCCTTTTTTATCATGTGTTATCTTACTTAATATGCATCTTTCTCATGAGCGCGTCCTAATATTACATTTTCAACTAATTAATTACATTCAATTGTGTTTGTTTGAGTCGAGTTTTGTTTATTTTAGAGTGATCTTTGATTAGTTTTAAATGTATGTCATGGATCGATCACCGAGATTTAAGCGACTTATCTCAACCTGATCAATGAGTAACTTTGAAACAATCTGTGTTATAGAACCAATTCGCAAATGACTGCATACGATACAAAATTGACCCTGTGTTTTTATAAACCAGTCATATGACAGCCATGGTTATACACTGGAATATAACAGCCAAATATAGGTTCACTATACTTGGGTATGAGCTCAACATATGGTTGAGCTGTGATGAGCCTTTTTGACTTTGAGAGTCACCAAAATCTTGATCGATCGACTTGATCGATCGACTTGATCTTGGTAAATTTGATTGAACTGATTGAACTGATTGACTAACTTGCTTGATTCACTCATTTCACTCAATTCACTCGGTCCTGACCTAATCAAACAGTTTGTCTGTCTAAAACATCCAGGATACCTTACCGGTGGTGTGTTGTGTTTTGAGTCTTACTTTGTCACAAACAAAATAAATAAAATCCAAGATTTGGTTTTGGTTTTGGTTTTGGGAGATAAGAGATTTAAAAAAAATGTGCAGCTTGTCTAGATCAGACATGTGAAAGGATTAGTTTGTGTGAAAAACATGTGATATCAGCTAGGTAATTTGATCTCTTGAATCATCTGTTTTCACTGTTATGGGTTTGAGATCAGGTTAAGATAATGGAATTTCATTGTATTAAAAAGATGGAGTTGAAGCCAATAAATATGATACAAATGGAATGGTATGTGTA